GGGGCTCAACGCCTGGGCCTGAGGGCCCTTTTGCAGATCACATGCCCTCACTTCTTTTTGGGGTCCGCTTCTACCCGAGGACCGGTCCAATGCCCCCACTTCTTTTTGGGGTCCACTTCCACCCGAGGACCGGTCCTTCTTTTTTCCAAAAGTCCCAGTTCTACCAGAGCTAGCTGTAGGTAGTCCGCAATTTTGCTCTGGACCGGTCCCCCAAATTTTTTTGCCCCCGAAAAACCCACTTGCGTCCTGGTCGCCCACCGCCAAAAATGCGACACCTTGACACAGACGCCGAAGTACCGCAGCCTAAGGGCTGCGAACATGGTGGCCCGGCCGTAACCGGTCTGACCGTCCTCTGGTGCTCCCTATCTTCAGTTGGGCGGAGTTTTCCAGAGGAAAGAAAGCAGGTCATTTACCAGCTACAAGCTGGTCGGTGCATCGAACCCGCCTGGGGCGCAGGCGTGTCCATTGGAACGAGGCATCGCCTTCGTCGTTGGACAGTGCCGCACTCGTGGGCGCGGTCGATTCTGCCGTTTGGAAGTGGCTCGACCGCCCAACTGCGGGGCGTCCCACTGCGGAAACCGTCGTCCTCATTCCCACAACGCCATCCACGGACGTTAGGAGGGTAAGCCTGCCTTCCTCTCTCGATCAAGATAGAGTGGGGAAGGTTCTAATTTGTTCGTTGCAGCGGGCTGCTCCTTTTCTGGTATACCATAATTCTCCCTCCTCATCCTTACCTTCATTCCATAATTCTCTGTTCAACGTCCAACCCTTCTTTCATGATCGCTCTCCTCTTTCATTTCCCTTCTTTTGTCCAGCCCCCAACTGCGTCGTTTGCATTCCTTGCCCTCTTGCATGATCGCTCTCCTCTTTCATTTCCCTTCTTTTGTCTGCCTGGGCATTCCTCCATCCCTTGCATTCCTTCCCCCCTTTTGCATTTCTACCCCTCTTGCATTCCTTCCCCCCGTGCATTCCTCTACCCCTTGTATCCGCCCCCGCCCGCCGCCCCCCCCCACCCAACTGCCTCGTTTGCATTTTCCCCTCTTGCATGATCGTTCTCCTTTTTCATTTCCCTTCTTTTGTCTGCTCCTCGACAGCACAGTTACGCGTATAGATTACGTAAACATAGTATGTGGAATTGTTTTTTTTTTTTTGGGAAGCATGTGGAATTGTAAATGACATAGTTAAAATTGAACTAAAAAAAAAAAAAAAAAACGTTTATCCCTCAACGTATGACCACTCGGTTGCGCGCGTTACCTCTCTGGCGTCTTCTTCCTACGGGCGCGTATCTTCTGCTTTCGTTTTGTTCGATGGACCTTAGCCATCACATCAAATCACACTTGGCGTGCCCTCCCTCTCCCTGCCACATCCCCCCTATTTCTCCTCGCCACGTGCAATGCCTGTACGTCAGATACTGTTGGCCCGCCCCTCCTTTCAGGTCGTGTCGTCGCTCCTCGTCTTCTTTCCCTTTCTCTCCTCTTCGGCTAATTGATTGATTGATTGATTAATTGCCTCTTAATGTTTCTCGAGTTTGACGACGCTGCTGTCTGTGTGACGGGCATCCTTTCGAGCGAGCGACTGAGTGACAGTGTGTGACAGAATGGGTGATAGAATGAGCTGCCAGCGGCGGAGAGTGACAAAGAGGGTGACGGAGCGGTGACAAAGTGGATGACAGAGTGGGTGACAAACAGTACAAAAGAATGGGTGAAGGTCGAGTGATTGACAGAGTGGATGACAGAGCAGGTGACACAGTGGGTGGAAGAGTGAGTGACAAAAAGGGTTGGCAAACTGGATGACAGACCGAGTGGGTGGAAGAGTGACTGGCAGAATGGGTGACAGGTTGAGTGAGCGGCAGAGTGAGTGACAGAGTGGGTGACAGAGTGAGTGGCAGAATGACAGAGTGGGTGACAGTGAGTGGCAGAAGGGGTGGCAAAGTGGATGACAGACAGAGTGGGTGACAGTGCCTGACAGAATGGGTGACGTGTGAGTGATAGAGTGATAGAGTGAGTGGCGGATTGTATGAATGAGTGGAGTGAGGCATCTTCCTTGCCTCCTGTGCTCCCCCTGTCTCCTGGCGGGTCTCTACGTGTTCGTGGACTGTTTTCTTTTCTCTTCCTTTCCCTTTCTAAGTACAGCATGTTATCAACCTTGCGATCAACCTTGCGAACTACTTTGGGCACGCCATGACGATAATGTTAGGGCACACTTATCTCCGCGCTCTGCTCCTCTCTCTGGCTCTTTTCTTTTTTGCGCGCCATGCTGTCTACGTCTCGTTGAATTTCATGTTTCGACGGGTGTCTGACGTGGAACAAATCGATGTACTGTATCCTGTCAACCTGACGATTTGGCATTAATCCAACGGCCAATCAAATCAATCAATCAATCAATCAATCAATCAATCAATCAATCAATCAATCAATCAATCAATCAATCTACGGTGTTTAACCTTTGCTTCCCCCCTGGTTCTCTCTTTTCTCTCGCTCTCTCTCTCCATAAGCGCGAGCGAGCGAGCGAGCGAGCGAGCGAGAGAGAGAGAGAGAGAGAGAGAGAGAGAGAGAGAGAGAGAGAGAGAGAGAGAGAGAGAGAGAGAGGAATGTTCTTGTAGATACGCATGCATATACATTACCTGAACGATCAAGGGAAAACGTGCCATATATGTGTGATGAGGGGTACACATACAGGAGGGGAGAGAGAGAGAGAGAGAGAGAGAGAGAGAGAGAGAGAGAGAGAGAGAGAGAGAGAGAGAGAGAGAGAGAGAGAGAGAGAGAGAG